TGTGTGTGTGTGTGTGTGTGTGTGTGTGGTGTGTGTGTGTGTGTTTATTAAACCAACATGCAATGTGGTAACTTCGATTCAAAAAATACTTTATTGATCCCAGAGGGAAATGAGGTTACTCAATGCATTCCATGCTCAAATCCCTGCATGACAGTTGTACTTTAGGTTTAATAAACATAAATACAAAACATTTGAAGCAGTCACATGTACTTATTTTAGTAAGATGAAGGCAATGGCATAAAAACAACTTGGGTGCAGACTCCTGCATGGTTTTAGTTCTGGTAAAAATTTGCTGTTGTTTACACACGTATAACTTCAATAAACTTATCATATTTAGCTTTGTGCAACATACAATAGGGGTGACTCATATTGAAATTGTTCATGGCAAATAAAGTCTCTAAGCAGACTAAACGCATAGGTAATAGGTATAAATAATGTCATTGCCTTGAAATTATGTTAACAAATAGTCGACCCTACCCAGTATATATTTTTTAAAAAATGCACTCAAAGCAGCTCTGAGAACAGATAGAACTCAACGCCAACCATCTCTGATGTCCCAGTCACAGGACAGAGAGACATACGGAGAGCATTTCTATTCCCACCACCTTGGCAACGGGGGATAAAAAGAAAATAATAAAACTCAGGGGCGGGGGGCCGGAGCTTATTGTAGGGCCAGACTGAAGTCACAAACAGGACTATGTTGCCTGTGTGCAGCAGGTTGCCAGTCCTTTATAATATGACGTGTGCATGTTTGTTTCTTTGTTAGAAAAATATCTCATGAACTTATAGTGAACATTTTTTTACTGAAACTCAAAATGATCATTGAGTGTACAGCAACTCCTGATTTTATAGAGAATCTGATTCAAGATGGCTGTCACAGCTACAGTATGTGATAGCAAACACACCAGGAGCTGTTGCGATCAATGTGATCAATTTTACAAATGCTGAGTTAAAATTTAGTTTGGTGGTTGTAGAGCTATCCCCAGCACCTACATTGAGTGCTCAAAACTTGCATCTCAAAACCTTTTGAGGAAGTACCGGAGTCAACCATGTTTGTTAGCAAAACATATGAACCAGTGGTTGAATTTCAATGCAACTCTCAAAAAGTAATCATTGGATGTAAGTAGCCTACTAAGTTTTGGAGTCAAACTCATTTTAGATGGCAGCCACAGCTACTTGACCTTAGCAAACAGAAATAAACATTATTTTAAAATTATTTATAGTTTGTAGACAATTTTAAAACAAATTCCACACATTCATCACTAACAAATTTTATTTTATTAATATGCTTTCTTATATTGTTCACAGTTCATCAAATGTTCCTTGAAAACTGTTAAAATTTGAATTTCAACACTGTTTTCTGGTAAATACTTGAGTATTGTATATCAAGTGTGAATCCGAATCATATTACAGCCACTATTACCTATAGAAATAGAATTGTGTTTAGATACCATTTAAGGATTGTGTTTTTATGTTTAGCACAGTGCCTTTAAGGCAGAAAACTGGTCTTTGTTCCAGAAAACAATTGCAGGACTGTGCCAGTATTCTTTGTTTTATAGGAGGTTAAAGAACAAAGTGCCTTTTGACCTTGATGCAACTTTTCATGTCTGGGAAAACACTGAAAGATATTTCGTTTCAGCTCTAGCTGGTGAGATTTTGTCATCATGTGAGCGTGTGTGCAGCATGACATTTAGTTGCTTTTAAGGGTGGTCCATTCAGAATGAAAAAAAATAGTTAATAAACAACTGAGAAGAAATCTTTTATTTTAATAAATAATCATCAGCTTTCAGGTTTGCAGAGCAGGTTTGCAATTCAGTCACTGACAAGACTCACAATCTGAAATTAACAGACTAGAAATTCAAGTAGTGGCCCAGAAACATGCCACTCAATCCTTTTGAATAGGTTATAAAAATTTAATTAAAAGTAATTCAAGATATTAAAAGTATATAATTTCACACCTACAGGGGAAATTCACTTTGTCATCCCATTACCAGCACAAGAGGCTGCAAAATGTCTTAGTTAACACATTACATATCTGAAACACGTCACATAAAAAGTCTAGGTTTCAAACTTTGTCACAAGATGAATGAGTGCAACTTTTTTCCACTTCTTCCTCCAGACACATATGGAAAATTGAGCCAACAAGTAAGAAAGAAAACAGTCAGTTGTAACCTAAACCGCCAAAGCCTCCTCCTCAACCCCCACACTCCAGGGAGAGGTGAACATACTGAGATGTTGGTTTTTTTCATCCCCACCTGGGTCATATCATTGTGTCGTGCCCCGAGATGTTGGGTTACCATTGGTTTTCCGATAGCTTCCAAGGAAGCTTTTCACTTACGGAGGCGCTATAGAGTGGTGTATTTTTTTCTTGTCAATACATTTTTTTTCCTATTTAGGCATTATCCAGTTCTGTAAGATATAATGTTTTGAAACTAATCCCCGTCTACTACACTCGGAACTGATTAGATTTAGATGTCACATGTCTCAAAAGGGAAAACATGCTGCATGATGACACTAAAACTTCACCATTAGTACAAATATTGTAGTTTCTAGACACAAGAGAAAACTCTATGGCCCACCCAACATCAAAGAAGAATCAATAACAACAGTTTAGGTTTTGGCTGCTAAAGAGATATACAGTTCTTTCAACAACTGGTGCAAATAAACTAAATGACATTGACCATCTGGTTTGAAACAGAACAGACTCCAACTTAGTGAAAGAGCAAAATAGTCATGGCCAATATATAAAATACAATTTAACAATATATCAATCAGTTATTGTTGTTCAAGCTGTTTTATTGAAAACACACAGAAATGGAACAAAGAAAGTCTTTCTTTATATTTTAGGGTTTTACACAACAGAGCATATTGAACAAAAAACTGTTGTTTTCCGTATATTTATCAGTCTCTAAGATTGTTGTGGATGAATTTTGACCCACTTTTTGGCACAGCATTTTTCAATCTTTGAAGGTCCCAGCACAATTTTTCAGATTATTTATTTATTTATTTATTTATTTATTTATTTATTTATTTATTTATTTATTTTACGAGAAATATTGCTTCTAAAACACAGTTCCCATTAGAGATGTGACATTCACAAATGATAAAGATCTTTTGAATGGCTCCTCACAGACAATAGGAACCAAAGTGCGGGCAATGGAGACAGTTGTAGTTTCACCTTTTATTTTGATTCCTTATATCATCTTTGCTTTTTTCACGGAAACCAGTAAGACTGGTGGAGTGCAGCAGCTCAGGGGGAAAAGGGGAGGAATTTCCGCTTGATTAAATACATGGTTCCACCCACGTGATGTGATGACATATTTCCCTACCTGATGATGTAACTCGTTCAAAATTGAATGGCTTTATGAAACAAACAGGTCCTCAAGATCTGAATCCCTTCAACGAGCCATTTATCCCATTTCTAGTTCCCATGTGTACCATGCTTTTAGGCAGGCTTGTGGAAGAAGGTGTAAACACTTTAAGCCCCCACTCCCCTCCACTCCGAAGCATAATGAAGTTTACAAAATTGTGACAACAACACATATTGATAGCTACTGAAGCTGTAAATCATACTGAAGTCTACAAAATTTATGTAAAGTTACAAATGGACCGGGATCAGAAATTGTGAAAACACAACAGCGGCTACTGAAACTGTAACATCATTATCCACCTGCTCAATCCAACACACACACACAAAAAAAAAAAAAAAAAAAAAAACATTTAAATTCTTCTGAGGTTCCGACAACACCTTGCTACTTTCCTTTTACAGCTTTTCTCATGTAGATTTGCTGGGTTTGGGAATCATTGTCTTTTGGTAAAACCTAATTTCTGACATGCAGTCCCATATCTGACTCTAGAAAACTTGGGTATACAGAGGAGCTCATTGGTTAACTCAGTGACTGCAAGGTGTCCAGGTCCTTTGGCTTCAAAACAACTCCAAAATCATTTGGTTTTATCTGTCCGAAAGAAAATATTCCAAAATTACTTAGGGTTATTCAAAGGCAACTCTGTAAACCTAAGTCAGACTTCCATGATCATATTAAAGATTTATTTTTTCCTCCTGGCAACCTTTAAACATAAGTCATACTTGTTGAGTCTTTAGGAGAGAGAATGGATTTTCCTTTATTTTCAAGAGTCTAAAAGACTGGCATAACATGCTGGATGCTTTTAGAAGTACAGGATGAGTCAAATGTCATTCAAAAGTCTCAGGACACCCTTTTACTTCAGAAAGAAAAGGGAAAATGACACATCTGAATACCCCAGCATTTAATGGGTGAGGGGGCTATATTTCAGGCAATGTCCAATAAATGACCAGCATCATTGAAGTATCCTTCAATGTCTGCAGCAAGATGCTGCAGATCTTCTACAACTCTGTTGTTGAGAGCGTCATCTCTTCTGCCATCATCTGCTGGGGCAGCAGCATCAGAGCCAGGGACCTAAAAAGGCTAAACAACCTGATAAAGCAACACACTCTCACTCCCAACTCGTCACATACTGACGTTTTGCAAGGTTCCCTCTGCGTCTCATTTTGACGCAACAGGTACCCCCCTCGCGTCACTCCTTTACGCCCGCGGGTTTTCCGGGTTGCGCCACCAGGGGGCTTTGCGTCGGGGGTCTGAGGTTAACATTAGGGATCAGGATTAATGGTTAAGTTTAGGGACTGGGATCAGGGGTAGGATGTCCATGGTGAATATTATGGTGCGTTCACACCGAACGCGATTTCAGCGTCAAAATCGCAGCCAACGCTGAAGTTTGAAGCTCGTGCAC